CCCCTTCCCCCCCCCCCCCCCCCCCCCCCAAACAAAGGAAAATTATTTTCTTCTTTCAAGCAATAATCTAGGAGGAAGACAGCACGGCCAAGTGGCTTAGGCTGTACGTGCCTGGGGTGCATGTTTCAAGTTTTTTTTGTGTTGGAGGAAGGGAGGGCAGGCCAACTAGCTTAGGCCACGTACCTGCGTTGCGTATTTTTACGTCAAGAATGAGAGAGGCAGGCAGGCCATGTGGCTTAGACTTCGAACCGGGGTTGTAACTCATTCGGAGCTGGAGGCAGGAAACAGGTGCACCTTTTGCGTTAGGAACGAACGGTGTTTTCAAGCGGATGGTGGTTGTACCCCTGCTCCTGTTTGGACCAGATCTTTTCTTTTTTTTTTACATTGACTCTTGAGATTCTTACCCGAAATCTCGCCACGTTTTTTTCTGCAAGTTGAAATTAACCTTTTGGTGTTGATGCCGAACCGCAGGGTATTCGACGGCATCTTCTCGTTCTCTCGATTGATCTACATTTTTTTGGTTTTTTCCTACCTCCTCCCGCCCAATTCATTACCGAAAACTCTTGCGAATATGAAAAAACCCCATGGCATACCTGGGTTGGCACAGCAAATGCCACGATGATGACTGACTAGCTTCCGGTTCACACTTTTGTGAAACGTAGCCAGGGCCGGCGAAAACCCGGCGTATCGCTCCTCCGTCCCGGCATTGTAGGGATGCGAGGTCAATAGTCTAACGACTCTGTGCGGCATGCTTTTACATTAGTACGCCACACCCCCGCCCGCCCGCCCGCCCGCCCGCCCGCCCGCGTTTTTTTTTTTTTTCTTTTACTCCAGGCGGACATGCTGATGGAGTGCGTCAAGTTCGGGACGGTCATCAGCGTGGCCACCCCCGAGGAGCCGGGGTACTTCGGTTGCGTCGTGATAACGTTCAAGACTAGCGACGGGGCCAACGCGTGTGCCGAGGCAATGCACGGAAGGTGGGGGGGGGGCTCCGTGCTTGGGAGTGCACTTCTTGAACAGTATTTTAGTTTCAAGATTTACATTGCAACCTTTCAAAATATAAGAAATGGGGTTTGTATTTTTTGTTTTTGATTTTGTGTTTGGGGTGTTAGTATAAAGGACAAGGACAAGTATTAGAACGATCCTGCTTTGATAAATTCGTTAGAGGTTTTTATGTGGAAGGCCGGTGTTGCAACCTTGGTGCACATTCAAAAGTAGGATCTGAGCGGAGGAGTATCTTGCTCATGGTTGAACAGCAAGAAAACCCTGCTATGGATACGACCCTTTCAGCGCCACCTGCGGAGATGGGTAGTGACGTCCTGTTCCGGCCCTCTCCACCCTCTCAATAGATTATTTATTGATGTTTGCCCTAGGTAATCCCATTCGTCCCAAAAAGGCAACTACGCCTATGTATTCTCTTCCGACGGCGGTAATCGACATCACTGCTGAGTATGGATACGACCCTTTCGGCGCCACCTGCGGAAATGTTTTTCGTTCCTCCCTACCCTCCTACCCTCCGGCCCTCCCCCTTCAGTGTCACCCCTCTTTTTCCGAGACCTTCTCCTTGTCAAGTCTCAAGAATCCAAGCTGGTTGTCACCGGTACGGTAGTGGGTAAAGACGTAAAGACGACCTACCGCGATCTGGTCTCCTTCCAATGAGGGAACAAGCCGCCGGCGTCCTTGTTCATGATTATAAAGCACATCATTATAGAAGTACATTTTTTTCATTTGTTGAAGAGTGTACACCTCTGCTTTTCCCCCTCTGGTCTTGTGTTTTTTTGCTTTCAGTTTGTTTTTTTTTCTTATCATTATCACGCACCGATTCCATCTCTATCGCAGTTTTTTTTTTTTCCGATACATTCTGTCTGTGTAGGGAAGGAAAGTACTCTACGGTAGTCATATGCATGCCACCGGAGTGTTTTCTATTTTGTCGGTGTCGAGATTCACGGCGTCCCACTCAAGGCCGGGGCCGTGCTTCGAATACACTCAACAACCCTACCGGTATTTTTTTTAACCTTTCAATCAGAACAATCCTGCTCTAAATATATCAAGCTTTGTTATTTTAATATTTTTTTTACATAGAGCAATCCTGCTCTATTAATATATTAAGCTTTGCTATTTCATTTTTTTTTTCAACTGTGTCTTCTGTTGTCTACCAGCATGTACCACCCTTTTTACTCTCTGGTTTTTGTGTGTTTGCTTCTGTCTGTGGAATGTTTTCTACGGTATTTAGTCGAACCGGGGTATCCATTCTCATCTTTTGTCTGTGTCAAGATTCGCGGTGCCTTGCTTGTGCCTTGGTATTGGGAGGATGGGGGCACCGGTGGTGGAGATGTCGGACGTGGGCACCTATCGCTTTTCCGAAGGGGCCGCCTCTTGTTCGTCGTTACCCCTCCACGTTTGTTTGTTGTTTCGGTTCATAACTCTATGCATATCAGCGCTCACAGCGTTTCTGCCGAGTACGATCTCGAATCCGTGGTCGCACCTCCGTGCACTTCGAAAAAAGGCGTGCTTGGCTTTTCACGTGTTCTTCTTGCGCTGGCTGGTGGCCGAAGCGGCGTCTTTTTGTGCCGTGTCTCGATGGCCGTTTCTCCCTCTTGGGTGTCGGGGGGCTCGAGTGCTGTGGTGCAAGGCACGACAAGACTTGTCGCACATCCGCGCCCTGCAAATGAAATTGTGCTCGTTCGGCGCCCCCGGCCCTTTCCGACTAATGCATCGGGATATTTATGAAACCCTTTCTCCGTACGCAATAGGTTCAGTCGAAGAAGTGCCACAAGCCATCACGGCGCCATGCCTGATGTATAAGTCTTACGGCTGCTGCATGCATGCATCTCTTCGGTCAATGATTGAGTAGTTAACATTGCTTGAGTAGTTAACCTTGAGTTTTTTTTTCGGTCGTGGTCAGATGGAAGGGCTGCCCACCGCAGGTAAAGAGGCATATTTCGTAACCACATTTTTTCACACGCCTCCTTATTCTTCTTGGTGATTTTTCTCTTATCTCGCCACCAACCGGCACCTCTCCATATCCCGCCGCTTTTTCCCCATCGGATTTACCTGCTATTACTACTTTACACGTGATACCCCCGGAGTGGGCTCATTAGAGCACAGTGCCATCACGGGGTGATGGAAAATGAAAACAGAAAGCAGGCAGCAGGACCTGGCGTTTCCCAAGCTTGAAATAGCTCACACAGCCGAGATTTGTTTTTTTGACTCGAATAGCCCAGCGAGAACCTCAACGACCCAAAAAGAACAGAATAGATTACGAATCTTCTATTTTATCCCGGACTCTCATGTGTGGATAGATTCGTTGTGTTATTTCATGTAATTTAATCTGCGGATAGATTCGTTGTGTCATTTTATCTTTTTTTTTTTTTTTTACTTTAAGTCAGCGCTCACACCACTTGTGCCTTTATTTCCAACCCCGTGGTCACACGTTGTGTTGTTACATTAAGAAGAAGAAAAATAACTGTCTCGTATGGAGTACAGCAGTCTTACACGTTCGCCTGGTGTATAAATTATACACAAACATTTGTAGGTGGTTCGACCAGCGACAAATCGAAGCTCTCGTGACGGGCAAAGAAGTGCTCGGCAAGGAGGGGGGAGAGAACGGCGGCACGGAGGACAACAGCAGCAGTAGCGGCAACCAGGGCGGGGGGAACGGAAGAGAGGCGGCCGGCGAAAAGCAGGAGGAGGAGGAGGAGGAGGAAACGCCCTTGGGCCCGCTGCTGCAAGGGCCGCCAGACAGCCCTCCACCAACAGACCTGAACAGCTTCTTGGAGTCGGTATAAATGATGTTCTCGCTCGCTACATTTGAGTTCGGGTAAGGGTTATACACCCTAAACCTCGTCGTAACAAAAGACCTGAACACCTTGGTGGAGTCGGTGTGATGATGTGCTTGCTACATTTGGGTTAGGGTTACGGTTGGTTACAGTTAAACCCTGCACCTCGTCGTCTTCTGTCTCTCTCTCGGTCTTAGCACGGGTGTGCACAATCTTGTTGTGGTATAGTGTTTTGTGTTGACGGCTGCTGCTGCGGCGGCGGCGGCGGCGGCGTGGTTGTTTGTTCTTGGCTTGGTCCCGACGTTGTTTGTTGGGGTTTGATTGCACGTTTTACCTTTCGTTCCTTCTAGCACAACCTAGTCTCGCGAGCGAGGAGGTATGCCCTTTGCTCCGGAGCGAATCAGAGAGAGCTAGCTGCCCGGGGAGAGCGCTTGTGCGGCATTGTGCTGGAGGAATTCGTTGAACAATTTGTCGTGGATCAAGGATCAAGGTAGAGAGTTTTATATTGTTTTGTTTTTGAAAAGCTGTCGACGTTGGTTAGAGGGTTTTGTTTGAGTGAGGATGCCGAAAGGAAGGTAGAAATAAAATGATGTGCATAAATATGCTGTTGTCTGTGTACGCGTGCTGCTGCTATTGTTTGTATTGCAGTCCTTTTACCCGCCGTGGGTGTTCGCACGTGCCCAACACGCAAGTAAAGGAAACAATTGTTGGGGAAGAGCACTCGATTGCTTTGACGGTGGCGCTGTTTTTTTTTTTTCGCGATGGCTTTTCGTTACGCCCAGTGACTTCGTGCGCGTTGGCTGGGTGCGTAGCCGATCTCCGGCGAACAGCAGTGTTTTTCTCTTCTTTTTTTTTTGTGTGACGAAACCGGAACCCACAAGGGCGTCAACATGCCGACATCTATCTCCGGAGATCTCGTGGCCGACCGTCTTTATCTTGCGTCCATTGCGGTTTCGAAGCAGTTAGTTGTCGTCGCCTGTTGGACGATAAGACTATTCTGCTGTAAGAGGCGGAGAGGTGCCCCCCCCCCCCCCCCCAAA